GCTGGCTTAAGTGATTTTTAAAGAACTAGCCAGCCATCTTCTCACATATACTATAGGATGTCTGAATGTCACCACCAAGCACTGAATAGCCTCAAAAGAATTTAGCAGGATGCATGGTTGCTAGTTTTTGCATTTTTAAATTTTTTTAAATGTTTATTCTTGAGAAGGAGAGAGACAGAGTGTGAGCAGGGGAGGGGCAGACACAGAGGGAGGCACAGAATTTGGTGTAGGCTCCAGGCTCTGAGCTGTCCACACAGAGCCTGACGTGGGGCTTGAACTCACAGACCGTGACATCATGACCTGAGCCAAAATTGGACACTTAACTGACTGAGCCACCCAGGTGCCCCAAGTTTTTTTCATTTTTTATCCAATTTTAACACTAATAATTCCTCACTTGATGACCAGGTGCATTCAAGGAAGCACTGCTCAAACAGCCTAGTAATAAAATCCCCAATTTTCAACTTGCGTACCTTGAAAACTATTTAAGGGGAATCATTTCACAATACCCAGCAACAGCTCTTGCATCCTTTATTCTCTCTTATTCGCCCACAGATTTTGTTGTATTTGCAGAAGTATCAATCCCCATGGATTGGAACTTTTTAAAAATGGACCTTCAAAGTAGAGTTTGAGAAAGTATTGTTCTAGTCTAAAGCATTGATTTTGCATCTTGAAAACCTAGAATTGATCCAGTGGAGATTCTCCTTAGAGTCAGCATTCTGAGTATTAGTGATGTGTGTGGGGAGTATGAGTGTGGAGGAGGGGCACACAGGAAAATTTACAATATGGTAGTTTTTTTAAATGTTTATTTATTTTGAAAGAGAGAGAGCAAGAAGGGGAGGGGCAGAAAGAGAGAAAGAGAGAGAGAGTCCCAAGCAGGCTCTGCACTGTCAGCACAGAGCCTGATGTGGGGCTCAAACTCACAAACTGCGAGATTATGACTAAGGTGAAATCAAGAGTCAGATGCTTAACCAACTGAACCACCCAGGCACCCCTACAATATGATAATTTTTAAATTCAGTATACAATCATAAAATGAAGGTGCAAAATGTATGTATTTCAGTTGGGGATGGAGAAGAGGGGCTTGCCTCATTTCCTTTGGCTTCCTTCCTTTACCATTACTCCATTGTTGTAATGTTACACTCACCCATTCTTTCCTTGGGTCTCAGGGGGTGGAAACAGGTAATGGTCAATTGACCAAAAGTAATATGGAGCAATAAATTAGAACTACTGAAATGCTATGGCTCCCCAGATATTCTTGTGTGACATCAAACAGTGGGATCACATAAGAGAGTTGGCTAACCATTGGGTCCAAGATAAATTATGACAGGTGAATGTTCATTAAGTATAGAACTGATGACATTCTAAATGAAATTGAATATAAATCAAGTTTTAAGTACTTGACAATATTCATCTGTTGCAGAATACAGGAATATCTCTGGTACTTGGACTCTAGCCTGCTGAAACTCACAGGCTCCTGGAGTGTCTCTAGATCAGGTTCAGTATCAGTTAGTTATTACCACATACAAAATACCCCCAAACTCAGTGCTTCCAGTGAACATAATTTGCTATTTCTCATAAGCGTGGGGTGAGGGGGGCTCTGGCTGATCTCTGCTGGGATTCCCAACTGTCTAAGGGTTTCCTGGGATCTCTGCTATAGGCTAGCTTAGCTGGAACAGATCTGTTCCGGGTGTCCTTTATCCCCCACCTGAGACCAGCAGATATACCTGGGCATGTTCATCTCATGGCAATGGAAGAAATCCAAGAAAGCAAGCAGAAATACTAAGGCTTCTTGAGATGTAGGCTCAGAGCTGGTCCACTGATCTGGAAATCACCTCACTCAACTAGCCAACTAGCTAAAGCAAATCACATGGCCAAATACAGATTCAAAGGTGGCGGGGAGATTCTGCCTCTTTAGTGAAGGGAACATCCAGCCATTCTGGAAAGCAATCTTGTGGAAAATAATGAAATTAAATGTCTGCCCAAGGAACCAGAGGTCTCATGCCTTGCTACATATTCCAAAGAAATGAGTGCACAGGCCAACAAAGTGGAATGAACAAGGGTTTTCATTGTGGTATCAATGGAGAATAATTGATATCTCAGTAGGGGATAATTTAGATGTTGACAAGAAAATGGATAAATTAAATGTGGTATATTTATACATTTATACTTTGGAATACTACACAGCATATATATATATATATATATATATGAACTTTAAAAACATCTCTTAATGTGGAAAAATAAGAAACAGTATAAGACTTAAACCAAATATGACTTATGTAAAATGAACACACACAAAAAACATGTAAGGATAGATTTATATGTAAAGACATATAGGAGCACCTGGCTGGCTTAGTTGGAAGAGCATGTGACTCTTGATCTCAGGGTTATGAGTTTGAGCCCCATGTTGGGTATAGAGATGATTAAAAAAAAAAGTAAGTAAACTTAAAGACATACAACGGACACATGAGAGTGGGTACCCATTGGCAGAAAGGAGGTAATGGGATTGAGGACTTGGGATATAGAGTGACACTAAAACAAAAACAAAAAGAAAGAGGAGCCATTCATGGCCCAATGTTGATAATTTGTTGTGAACTAAGAACTATGACTACAACCTGAGGTATAAAATGATGACTAAGATAAAAAAATTACAAAACTAAAATGGAATTGTGAAGAGCATCAAATAGTATGCTTCTCTAGGGAACTGGCCATTACAGTAAGTAACTTTTGATCTGAAAACTACCTGTGGCAACAACTGATGACCAACTACTCACCCTATATTTTCTCTCCCCTTCTTACAGAACCCTTTATTATCGGGAATAATGTGTCCAGCCATTATTATCCAGGAATATATGTGATTCCTAGCCACATTTTTAGCAAAGGTGGGTATTGAGATATAAACAGAAGTAATTGAGTGGAGCTTTGGGAAAGTTCTCTTGCACCTTGGTATCTTGTACAATGAATTGACTGGAAGGGTGGAAATAATGCTCTGAAACTACAGACCACAGAGTTAGATAGAGCCTGGGTCCTGAAGACCTGGTGAAGCCACTATACCAGTTCTGGAAGCCTATCTCCAGATTTCTTTAACATAATAGAATAAACTCCTAGTTTGTTTAATAAGCCACTGTAGACTAACCGCTGTTACTAACCTTAATGCAATTCCTGATACACAAGACTTTCTCTTTTTTCTTTAAAAATAAAATTGTCACTCTTTTCTTCCAGACTAATGGTCAGAAGTGATAGACTAGCAGCATGATGAAGCCAGAATTTAGGCTGAAATGGATTACCTGAAGACAAACCAAAGAAACACTTTCTCAAGTTGTAGCTAATAAATATTTATTCACTCAATAGCTAAGAGTTAAAACTTGGAATTTCCCATCTGTGAAATGGGGACCTAGGAAGTGTGCTCTGTCTCAAAGCTACCTTATACGTGATATTCATGGGATTTCTTACCCCCCAAAGGTGGAGACAGTGGAAAATACAGCTTTTATTTTGAAAGGTTTTGATAAATCCTTAACTAGAGTCATGATGCATTAGGTAAGTCTGAATTTTTTTGCAGGATATCTCTATTTGCATGTGGGAGGACATACTGTGTCTTCCCACCAAATATCCTTTGATGGCTAGAGTATCACTGTTCCCTTGACATAGGGTGCCTTGCAGAAGGGCTTTTAGGGACTAAAGTATAATGTATGCAGGACTGAGAAAGGGGAGATAGCTGCTGCAGAACTCACTGGCTGTGACTGAAGTTGTGGGCAGTGCAAGTGACAAAAAGCACACTCAGCTAGGACATCACACCGGATTTTTTTTGTTTCGCTGGGTTCAGCAAATACCTAAAAACCTGCTCTATGACAGGCATTGTGCTGGACCACAGGAAAGGACTAGCAAGAAATAGTCGTTGACCTCTGTAAGTCTCAGGCACATCCTTCTGAGATCAGGCTATAATTCTAACTGACCTTGGTGAAGGGAAGATATTTCAAGAGGCCTTCATCAGTTTAAAGGGTGGTGAACAAATGCCAGTTCTACACAGGTGAAAGAGCAAATATATCTGCTGAACCAGAGCATTTTTCTCTCCTGCTTTCACAGAATCTAGCTGCTTATTTTCTCACCAGAGATGTTCCTCTCTGCAACTCAGAGCTAATGAATTTGCTTTCATCTCCTGGGGGCCTCAACTCACAAAATCAGCAGAAATGGTAAGTAAGCAGAGCATCAGAAAAGTATATTCTAGTCCTTGTCTGGCATTATCTCTATAAACCATGACAAATTATTTTTGGAGTTTCAGTATTCTCACCTGTAAAATGAAGAGCTAGAAAAGGGACTGTGCAAAAAGTGTGAAAACATTTTGCTAGTAAGTGAAGGGGTTTAGGACAGATACTGCCCCCCTCCCAATGTGCCACTTTGACGTGTATTATCTTGAGCTGAAGTCACTAGAGACCGAGAGCTCGAAGAAATTGTTGTCCTTCCTTAACCACAGAAGAATCTAAATTGGGTCTTTTTCAGAACAAGGGTTATTAACAGAGATCTATTTTACTGTAGTGACCCATCTGCGTGGTAGGGCGCACATCTAATTACCAAACATCCGCTTATTTTATCATTCTGCGAAAGTGCAAGTGCATTCCTTCCCTCTTAAGTCCCAAACTCTCTACAATCTTTTTAGTTCAGAATGACATAAAAACCTCATTTTGCTTATTTTTGAAATTTCCTCGTCTACGTGGATTTCCCTATACTCACACCTACTAAATTTGATTTTTCTCCTACTAATATGTCTCATATGAATTTGATTCCCAGTGCAGCTATAAGGACCTTTGAGGAGACAGGAGTTCTTGCTCCTTTAGCGGAGAAAGTGACCTTCAACCTAGCTACAGGGCCATGCATGCGTACACTTTCAATCAGACTCTCCGCAGTCGCACAGATTGCCCGCTTGGTAAGGTAGAGAGAATGCGCATGTGTCGTAAGGCCCTTCCCAGGACCCGTAGCTTCCTTTACATTTTGGCCCCGCCCACCACCAGCATTCTCGTTTCCGGCTCGCCCCAGGAAGCTTCCGAGTTTCTGGCCAGTGGTTTTCTGGCCGACCATTTCTCCAGCGTTTTTCCAGTTTTTTTCGGTTGCTGGGGGAGGTAGTTGCCAATAAAGTTTCCCCGTTTCAAAGTCTGGCGGATTGGGCCGGGCTCATCCTCAGTCCCCTTGCGTATTGCCCGCAGTCCTTCCGGCTACAGGCAAGGAGCTTTAAGGCGTCATGGCCAGGGGCCGATCAGGCCCGGTTGGTCCGAGGCCAACTTTCGTTGCCCGCGCGCTCTCATGGCTTTTGATCCCGCCGGCGACCACCTCAGCGTGAGCGCAGTCCCTCCACGCCCGCGGGCCGCCTTGCGCAAGACTCCATGGCCTCCGAGGCTCCGTCGCCTCCGTTGTCGCCTTCGTCACCTCCCTCCCCCGAGCCTGAGCTGGCCCAGCTGAGGCGGAAGGTGGAGAAGTTGGAACGCGAGTTGCGGAGCTGCAAGCGGCAGGTGCGGGAGATCGAGAAGCTGCTGCATCACACGGAGCGGCTGTACCAGAGCGCAGAGAGCAACAACCAGGAGCTCCGCACCCAGGTGCGCCGTCCGCCTCCAGTCTCGTGCCCTGTCCAATCCAAGGCGATGCCTCTGAAGCCTTTGATAGCCTCGGAGGGGCTCCCTGGCCGGGGCCCAGAACTGTTTATAGAGTTATCTGAAGTAAAAGTTCAGTGCTGTTACAAATCCAAGTACTTAATGGACTAGCGTAAGAGTTCGGGTTCCTCGATTTAGAGAAGTGCGTGACCTGATAGTGGGAAGTGAACTTCATTACCTTAGTTTTCTTTTCTCACTAACGTTCCCTTGGCATTAGGAACGTTTATATTACTTTTTCTATATCGCTTTCGAATTTGTTAAAGCTCTGGACTTGAAGTAGAATCCCATTTATCACTCACTCGGTGTGAAACTGATGTTGAGCCTCGGTTGGCCGTAGAATGAGAATGTTAGTACCACGCAAGTAAATTAAGCGTGAACAAGTGGTTTTAGAGTTTTACAAACTGTTGAACGCTATATATTTGGCAGGCTGTTATTCTGGGCATTTACCATCTTGAGTTTTCTGGTGAAAGTAGGGAGGCTCAAACTGTCTTTGTTAGAGACTTTAACCAGCTCACTCCATTTCCCTAAAATGGAGTAAGGATAAATATTTAAGCAGTCACATTTCTCTCCCCCCCTCCCCTTTTAAAAACGAGCATAATATTTTTCCCCCAGCTTGATTTGTTGGGCAGTTAAACTCTCCCAACAAGTTATTTTCCCTTAATTATTAATGTAAGTTGAATTGTTGTCTAGTTCTCTGTGGTATACTGGTTACATTTCCTAAAACTACACATAAAGGCTCTACATGAAATGTCAGCAAACTTTGTTATGCTTTGTTATCAAATGATCTGTGAAGATAACTGCCAAGATGAAGTGACTTGTGTGTCCGTTGTATAGGTTGTTAATAGGACGTTATAGAAAATGTTTGTTTACTCAGTAATTAGTTCTTGAACACTTAAAATGAATGCGTAAAGACTGTGCTAGGAGATTACACAAATGGTTAAAATGAGGGAATGGGAAGCAAAATATGACAGCCTTAAAAAAAGTTTTATAATTATAAATTATTAAAGTAGAGCTTGCTACCGAAATCTAAAAGAGAACATTTTCTATCCTTTGAAGAGCCAGCATTTTGTTATTAATATTAATTTATATGGTGGTCTTAACATGAAAATTGAAATGCAAAAAAGCCTTGAATCTCCTGTTGATACTAAGTCCTCTTTACCCTCTTCCTAGTGAGCCGCCCTTGGTGGTGGGTATGGTTTGAATGTTAACTGTCATCCCAGATCTCTAAATAGTATTTTATCTGGAGTGGCTTGAGAATTGACAGTGAACTGACAAATGTAATACAGGTTTGGGAGTCAAAAGAACTTTGTGCAAATTACTTTGTTCAGATTCCTCATGTAAAATGGTGATGAGGGTCACTATTTTGTGAGGTTTTTTTGAAAAATTAATGAGAGGTTATCCAGACTACTAAGTTCAGTGCCTAGGATGTAGCAAGATACTAAAGAAATTATCTAGTTCATAGTAATAGTGATAGTAGCCAGAGCCAGGACTGGGACAAGGCTACCAGTAACCCAGGGCAAAAAATTTAAGGAGTAGTCATTGTCTGGTACCGATCCTCTACTTCTTTGAAGCTGAGAATGAGCGCCTCCTTAAATTGTGTAGTCTAGGTGCCTTGCTTGCTTCACTTTAGTTCCCCTGAGTGATACTAATAGGATCCGATAACTAGCGAAGTGCCTAGATAATAATTGTGTAATCAGTCTGACCACCTTTCTCTTTGTAAGCTTTATTTATATATCATTAAATATTTAAGGTTTTGGGGGGGTTTATTTTTTAATTTTTTTTTAATTTTTTTAATAGTTTATTTTTGAGACAGAGAGAGACAGAGCATGAGTGGGGGAGGGGCAGAGAGAGAGGAAGACCCAGAATCTGAAGCAGGCTCCAGGCTCTGATCTGTCAGCACAGAGCTTAATGTGGGAGCTCAAACCCACGAACCATGAGATCTGACCTGAGCCGAAGTCGGATGCTCAACCAACTGAGCCACCCAGGCGCCCCGTTTTTTTATTTTTTTAGTTTTATGCCTATAATAGACATTGTCTCACACTGAGATCCTTTCCAAATGAGATGTGTTTACGGGATTGTTCCTCATCTGCTTATGGGTGTTTCCCCACTGCTGCTCTGGCCTTGGCATTCAGTGAGGCACAGGGAGGATAGATGCCCCTCTGAGACAGTCACCTCCATTCCCTTTTGCTGCAGTTACTTAGTCATAAGACTACTATCTAATAAGGGGAAAAAAGTGCATTAAAGTATATGAATATTAATACATTTAGGTGAATAGTTAATTCTAGGTGGAGGACACTGAATGATACTAAATAATTTCATCTGATGAATAGGAATTAATGTTTTTTTAGATTAATTCTTTAGGGAAAACTGATTAAAATTTAGTATAAAACCATTCTTATTGATCGAAATACGGGATCCTTTTTGAAAAGTCCTGTTAATTTAGTTCATCTGATTTTTGGAGGGAATATTTTGAGTTTAGCAAGAGAGTATAAGAATAAAAACATTTCTGGGCTGCCTGGCTAGCTCAGTTGGAAGAACTTGTGACTCTTGATCTCAGGGTTATGAGTTCAAGCCCAATACTGGTGTAGAGATTACTTAAATAACCTAAAAAATAAAAACATTTCTGTATGCAGATGTGAGAGATGAAAGTCAGTTATAGCATTTTTAATTTTTCTGAAAAGGAGACTAGCGGCTTTGATGCTTCTCTAAAACTTTAGCAAGAAATATAATTATTATAGTTTCAGGAGGATGGTATGTATAATATTAGGTTGCTATATGGTTTATTTTCCTAAAGTCTTGTTTTTTTGTTTTTTTGTTTTTTTAGGTAGAAGAGCTCAGTAAAATACTCCATTGTGAGAGAAACGAGGATAATAAAAAATCTGATGTAGAAGTACAAACAGAGAACCATCCTCCTTGGTCAATCTCAGGTATTAATGAAGTTATCTTAATGTTGTTACATTCATATCCTGCTAAGGTGGAGTTTTATTTAAACTTAAAACTAAGTATGAGAACTGTTATGTTGACTTTTATCCATACTATTTGGTATTTTCAGGTAATCTGTATGCTCTCCTGGTGGGAAAATAGAAATATCATTCCTGTAAATATATAGTATTGCTAATATGTTTTCAGTGGCACCTTAACTGAGTAATGTTTGCCATGCTGTGAACCATCTACTCTGGCCTTCCTTGTGACCAGGCACGTATGTTTTCCTGTTGATGCATTCGGCTTCATGTTGTGTTCAGTGCCATTCTCTTAGGCCCTTGTGAGAGTGATGAGCTCACAACCATGACCTCATCAGTGGCATTGTGAGGCAAAATAACTGAGCAACTGACTTTTAATAAATACAGATCATAAAAAATAATCTTTCAGGTTAAGTTTTGCCTTGTTTTATTCAGTATGTGATTTAACTAAATTGTTAAACACAGCAGTAGTATTAATATTACATATATGCATGGTACATATATATATATTTTTTTAAGTCAGCATCATGAGAGAAATTTGACAAAAAAATCAATTTGATCTTTATCTCATAATCATTTGATAGGCAACGATATTAAGGTAGTGTGTGATGAGAAGCTCATTTCTTTTGACAGAATGCAACCTATATGCCTGCTGTCTTTTTTTACTCTTATGGAAAATCCAAATTTACCATTTTTCTTATAATTTGACAACTAGGGTATTGAAGGTGACATTACAATTCAAGATACATAGTTCTGCAGATTTATCTGCACATCCCTTTTAGTCTGTTAAGTCATAATACAGTTGTAAAAATAATATATGTTTGCCTTATCTGCTGTTTTGTGTCCATTGCCAGGGGTTTGGAATTAACTTTTTTTTTTTGTACGTTTTTCTAATATATCACCTACCTTGTTTTTGCTACAGATTATTATTATCAGACATACTATAAAGATGTTAGTCTTCCAAATAAAGAGACTGAACTGTCAGTTCAGCAAGATCAGGATATTGAAGCTCCTACTTTTAATTCTGAAGACCAGTCACAAGTAGAAAATGATGCTTACACTGGTACTGATATAACAGAACATGTTAAATATGCAGAAGACCATTTTGCCTCAAATTTACAGGTAATGCTTAACCTGAAACTGTTGAGGGGGCATCTGGCTGGCTCAGTTGGTTGTGAGTTTGAATCCCATGTTGGGTGTAGAGATTACCTAAATAAATAAAACTTAAAAAGGAAAACAAACTGTTGATACCCCAAAACAGATCTCTTTGTTGTTGTTATTTAGAAAAATAGACTTCTTTGGTCCCTTACAGCGTATTCAAAAGTTATAAACATTTTATGTATAGTTATGCAGTGAATAAAAACAGTTCTTAGGAAATAAAAATTGGAACTTGTTAATATATATATAATTGTTTTTCTGCTCTGTTGTGTTCTAAAAACTTGTGATTTACATAAATTAAAAGAAAATTTGTCACTGTATTTTGACTCAACCAAAAATTTTTGGGCAATGGCCACAATAACATGTTCACACTAAATTTTTTTTTTTTAAGATTTTATTTTTTAAGTGACCTCTCCACCCAGTGTGGGGCTTTAACTCACAACCCCAAGATCAAGAGTCACATGTTCCACCAACTGAGGCAGCCAGGCACTCACACACTAAGAATTTTTTTAATGCTTATTTTATATCAAATACCTTCCCACTATTGTCTGAGTGTCATAGAAATTTGTTTCTTCAATTTGAATCAGGATCCCAGTAATCCTAGGGTCCCAAGATACTCTTTTTTTTTTTTTTACAAATAGTTTATTGTCAAGTTGGTTTCCACATAACACCCATTGCTCATCCCCACAAGTGGGCCCCCCCCCCATATCCATCAGTCCTCATTTTTTGTCAGCATTCAAGAGTCTCTCATGGTTTGCCTCTCTCCCTTTCCCCCACCATTTCCCCCCTTCTTCTCCCCCATGGTCCGCCGTTAAGTTCCTCCTGATCCTCCTATATGTGCAAACATAGGATATTTGTCCTTCTCTGCCTGACTTATTTCGCTCAGCATAACACCCTCAAGGTCCATCCATGTTGCTACACATGGCCAGATTTCATTGTTTCTCATTGCCATGGAGTATTCCATCATATAGATAAACCACATCTTCTTGGATCCCAAGATATTCTTAAAGAATATTTCAGAGTCTGTATTTTGTAGATTACTGCATCAGGCAGTATTTTTGAGTAATGGTGACTCACTCACTTTGAATCTCTTCAAAACCAGGTCAAAATTGAATCAACTAAAACACTAGTAACTTTTTTTACACTGGACCACACTGTAGTTGGCAGCCATTTCTTTCTATTGCAAAAATTGAAGTCTTATTATTTAAAATTGTTTTAAGTCTATTTATTTTTTCTAATTCTGCTAACTTTTAAATTGATAAAAGTAAGTATTTGTCTTACTTGACATGAATGTATCTTACCTAGGAGCCAGCATCTGTATTAGCAACAGAAGAGACATCCTTAGAAGGTTCTTCTTTAGCTGAAAGTTTGAGAGCTGCAGCAGAAGCTGCTGTGTCTCAGACTGGATTTAGCTATGATGAGAACACTGGACTGTATTTTGATCACAGCACTGGCTTCTATTACGATTCTGTAAGTATTTCAGACTGTGTAGTGTTGTATGGTTGTGTTCTTGCTGCTTGATACCAAGTATTCAACCTTAAACTGAATTAAGAAAAGCAAGAGGCTGCTTTTAAAAATTGTATCTGATTCAAAGCTATTTGACATGAATAAAAAGTTGTAAAATAGCTTATGAAGCTACGTTTCTGTGTTCTTAATTAAATAAGTTAATTGTGATTATTATAGACTAATATTTCCAAAAGATCTAATAACCTTTTATATGTAAAGTAACATGCAGAAATGTTAGCGCATTAATACATTCGATCTTAGGCAAGAGGCTGCGACACAATTTTAGAGTATTAATAGAAACTGTTAACTACATTGTTGTAAAGTGTTTAAGAACCTAAACTAACATTTTTTCATAGAATTGATAAGGAAGTGACATTGTTAACTCTAGGCTTGGCGTGAGATACTTTAGAGTTGTTTCAAATACTTCATTTGAGCCCCAAAAGGAGTCTTTTTCTGGAAATCTCAGTAGCATGTTTATTATTAGTCTAAAAGTTCTGTGGCTTTTAAGCATTTCATTTTTAATTTTTTTCAGTTTTAGTTTTTTTTAAGTTTAATTATTTCTGAGAGTGAGAGAGCATGATAAGCAGGGAAGGGTCAGAGAGAGATGAGAGAGAGAATCCTAAGCAGACTCCACATTGTTAGCACAGAGGCCGACGTGGGGCTTGATCCCATGAACTGTGAGATCGTGACCTGAGCCAAAATCAATAACCAGATGCTTAACTGATGGAGCCACACAGGTGCCCCAGCATTTCATTTATTTTAAAAATCAGTGTTAACAGTGCGAATTAGGAAATTAGTATGGAGTCAGACATGTAATGCATATAATGGACCACTGACAAGGACAGAATGAGAAAATAAACTTCATAATTTATAATTCAGTATTATGGCTCTTGGCGTTTGGTACTTAATGGGATTTCATTTAGATTTGATGACAGTGATGGCACTTTTCTACCTCAACATCAGTGGTCTCAACATGTGATCTGCTCCTCAGGAATTATAGGATGTGATACCCAGAAGTGGAGCACATGTTCACCATTCTAGTCACTGGAATTATTGTTAGCTAATCTAGGGAACATGGTGATAATACTAAATATTTTAGTCAGATAAAGGATTTCATTAGCTTGTAGGTTTGCTCTTGATAGTCTTTATAAATCCCTTATAAAGAAAGCGTTTTTTTTCACAGGGGTATGCTAATTGACAATGCTAATTAATATCTAGAAAGTTAATTTTTAAATTCTTATTACCAAAGAGAGTAGCTGTTATTTATTTGGCTTTGAGGAAAATACAGAGTTTACAAGTGTATGATGTTAGTCTTCATCATTCTTCTACCTTCCTTTCTACATCTTTACTCCTTCGTCTGTTCTATAAATGGTTATATGTAACATTTTATAGGTCTATAGATTATATGTTTTAGTAAAATAGAGACATCATTGTTTTGCCCTTTTTATTGTGCCAGTTTTCATTTTATTTATTTATTTTTAATTTTAGTTAGCTTTTTTTATTTTTTTAAAAGTGTGTTTTGGTCTGAAAGTCATAGGAGATTAAATAAGCTTGAATTATAAAAGTTTTGTTATCACCATCATGTCCATTCAGTTTTTTAGTTACAGTAAAGATAGAATTCTAAGTATTTTTATAAGACATCTGCAAAGTGAATTAAAGATAGTAAATTGCAGTAATATCAACACTTAGGAAAATAGTCTTTTCCAGGTAAGTTTAGTGGGTTAACCTTAGCATATTGTAAGATGTTTCCACATCTGATCTGTATCGGTTTATGATGTAAATAAAACATGGGTTGTTCCATTAAATCTTGGTTATAGAGTATGGGCCAGTATCTAATAAATACAGATGATTATATAACCTAATCTTTCTGGTTTTTATCCATAATTTGCCAAAATTCATTTTTGCATGGCTCTTTTACATTACTTACAGTAGAATTAACCAGCAAAGACAGTTATTTATCACTTTATTTACGTAAACTATTAGGTTGTATTTATAACCTTAATTTTTATAAGTTTGAGGCTTTTTTTTTTTTTTTTTTTGTCTTGTTTTTTGAGAGAGAGCATTTGCAAGCTGGGGAGAAGGACAGAGAGCAAGAGAGAATCCGTCCCACAAGTCTGGGATCATGACCTAAGCTGAAATCAAGGGTTAGATGTTTAAGTGACTGAGTCCCCCAGGCACCCCAGAGCTTAATTTTATTTTTCAATTTTTCTTCAGAGCCTTTGGTCATGAACACTAAAAGGCATATATTTGTTTTACGACATTGAGAGAAGGGTTGAGGGTTTTATACTACCAAACCATTATTGTGTAATCATAAGGATAATGAATCTGGAATTGCTTTTATATGGTCAGCTTTAGTTTTCATGACTTCTAAAAGGTTTATTTTTTTTATCATTTTTCATTAATGTATTAAGTTGAACCATATGAAATTGCTGTTTTTGTAAGTACCAAAATGGTCAAATATTGACAATTTCATGAGATTCAATTTAATATTTAAATACTCATTTTTCATACTAGGAAATTACAGCAAATACTGAATGGTAAAGTATTTTGGAAATTAGAAGCATTTTCCATTCTGTCATCTTTACTCATTATCTTCAGGAAATACTAGAAACATTTATAAAAAAAGAAAAATTTACTATTTTTGAATATATTTGGTGTCTGTTAAGTTTATTTTTAAATTTTATTTTATCTTACCTGAATAAAACTTAACTGTTTTCTTGTCTTTGAAAGGAAAATCAACTATATTATGATCCTTCCACTGGAATTTATTACTACTGTGATGTGGAAAGTGGTCGATACCAATTTCATTCTCGAGTTGATTTGCAGCCTTATCAGACTTGTAGCACAAAACAAAGTAAGGATAAAAAATTGAAGAAGAGAAGAAAGGATCCAGATCCTTCTACAACAAGTGAAGAAAAGGTAATGTCTTCAAAATTTTAAAAATTTACATAATGATGTAATTATATCAAAAGTTTTTGATGAAACTGAAAATTATAATTCAATAATTCTGTATTTCAAAAATATCTATTAAGATAACAAGATATCAGAATCTGTCAACCAAGGAGCATTCACATGGGGGCAAACATGGACTTCTTCATAAATTCTCAGTCACTGAAAGTAGAAGGAATTTCTTAAAGTTTGGAGGAGGTAGATTCAGGGCAGATAAAATATTCACGTGTTACATAATTTGGAAGAAGAGCATTCAGACCCTCAGTCAATTCATTGATGTCACTGCACAATTTACAATAATAAAAGAAAAGCACAGTTTGTATGTAGACGTGGATAAAAGTTCAACTTACTAGTCATGTTGAGCTATTTCTTACCTATTATGTTAAGAAATATGTAGGTACGTATTTATCAGAAGTGGAATTTGGTGTCTTTGGGGAAAGTAGATTGGCCCTTTGTATCAATAACCATAAAAGTTCATGTTTTTTAACTGGAAAATTTCATTTCTGGTAATTTTAAAAATCCAAAGGAAGAAAAATACCTTAGATAGCAATATATATTTTTTAAGTTTATTTATTTTGAGAGAGACAGAGACCACGTGAACAGGAGAGGAGCAGAGAGAGAATCCCAAGCAAACTCCACACTGTCAGTGCAGAGCCCGACACGGGGCTCGAATTTACAAAACCTTGAGGTCATGACCTGAGCTGAAACCAAGAGTTCAACCCTTAACTGAATGAGCCGCCCAAGTGCCCCTATATAGCAGTATTTGTAAGAACAGAAAAAAATGAAGAGTTCAAATGGCCTGCAAGATACTGGTTAAGAAAATGGTAGTATGTTTAATTGAAAAAGCATTCTTTAGGTCTTAAAATGGTCTTTTAGGTCTTAAAATACATAAAGACTGAGGAGAACTTCATAACTTGTGATACCGGGGGCGCTTGGGTCTCTTAGTCGGTTAAGTGTCCAACTTCAGCTCAGGTCAAGATCTCATAGTTTGTGGGTTTGAGCCCTGCGGTGGACTCTGCACTGACAGGGCAGAGCCTGCATCACATCCTCTGTCTCCTTCTGTCTCTGCCCCTTCCCTGCATGCACATGTCCCCTCCACCCCCCAATAAACCTTTAAAAAAAAATATGTGGGGCACCTGGATGGCTCGGTTGAATACCAGACTTTTGATTTAGGCTCAGGTCATGATCCCAGGGTTGTGGGATCCAGCCCTGCTTTGGGCTTCGCACTGAGTGTGGAGCCTGATTGATATTCTCTCCCTCCCCCCTCTCCCCCACTTGTTCTCTCTCTAAAATAAATAAATATAGTAAAAATAAAAATGTGTTCAAGATGCTCTCGTTTTATAAAATAACAGAAGAACATATGAATTCACTTCATCATGTTGCTTTAGGCACAAAGAAAATTTAGAGTATGTTACAAACCAAAAGAAAAAGGAAAATAACTCTGCTTCTTTTAAGTTTAAAATAATAGATTTGTTCATTTGTCATAAGATATGCCCACTATACATGTATAGCAAATAAAAAAATTAAGCCAGCTAATTTAGAATTTTAGAATAAAAGAGATGTAATGGGTTTGTCTTTACTTTAAACTACTTTACTTTGTTTTGTTTAATCAGACCAACCCCGTAAAAGTACTAAATTTTAGTGAAACTATAGCTCTCCTACATAGGCACATTTGGATCTTCATTTTTTTTTTTAATGTTTATCTGTTTACATATTTTGAAAGAAAACACGTGAGGGAGGGAGGGGTAGAGAGAGAAAGAGAGAGGAGAGAGAGAGAATCCCAAGCAGGCTCTTTGCTAATAGCACGAGGTTGAATCTCACAGTCCATGATGTCATGACCTGAGCTGAAATCAAGAGTTGGGACACTCAACCAAGCCACCCAGGCACCCTTACATTTGGATCCTTATTTATTTATTTAATTGTTTTTGAGAGCGGGATAGTGGGTGCAAGTGAGTGAGGGACAGGAAAAACCCCAGGAGAGGCAGAGGGAGAGAAAGAAGCAGGGCTTACCCAAAGAAGGACTTGAACTCATGAACTGTGAGACGTGACTTCAGCCGAAGTCAGATGATTAACAACTGAGCCACCCAGGTGCCCTCGTACATTTGGATGTTTAAATCAGTGTTGTAATTAAAACTGACTTTGTATTTTATGTGTGTTGACTTAATAATTGATTAGAAGTTCAAAAAGAAAATTTAGGGTAGACATATTCTCTAGGCATGCACTGTCCATTAATGTAGCCACTAACTACATGTGGCTAGTGAGCCCTTGAAATGAACCTGGCTAATTAAGGTTTGTAACTGAACTACAGTGTACTCAGTTTTGAAGACTTAGTGCAGAAAATCCATGTAAAATGTTTCATAAATCATTTTATAGTGATAAAATGTTATTTATAGTAAATGATAAGATTTTGTGTATATTGGGTAGATAAAACAATAAAATGAATTTTGCCTGCTTTTACTTTTTTAATGTGGTTACTAGAAAAATATAACGTATATACATGGCTTACATTATATATTTTTTGGACAGCAGTGGTCTACGCTGTCGCATGGTCTAAGCAATATGTGATAAGAACCTGTACAGGGACAATAGATAGAGAGATTTGGGATAACGTGGAAACATAGTCTATAGCACTTGTTAATTGATTCCATGAGGTAGTGAGGGGGATGTCAAAGGTAACTATAAGATTTTTTATTTGGGTGATAAATGGGTGGTACTGTTATTAAACAAGAAAGGGAACATGAGAGGAAGAGGGATTATATGTAATAGCTATTACTATTTCATATATAATATTGTACATATATCTTTACTAATTCATTGAAACATTCGGCATTAAACAGAAGATGGTCATGTTTAAGACATTTTTCTCTTTTCCCACCTCCTTACCTACCTCATTCCAGGATTTGAATTCAGAAGATCAAAAAGCATCCAGTGTTGAACATATAAGCTGCAGTGAGGGAGAAGATTTTGCAAATGTGAAGAAGAAAGCCAAAATGGACATTCATTATAAAAAGAGTCCCACCAAATTTACTGTTCCACTTAGTGGAAAGACTGTAGAATCTTCTCTCAGTGAAAACATTTATAATTCAGCATCATTTAAAGATGAGAAAATCGTGGAGACTGATAGTGAGCCAGAAGAAGGTGAAATTACAGACTCTCAGACAGAGGACAGTTATGATGAAGACATCACCAGTGAAGACAACGTAAGTGCGGAAGATACTGAGGATGAAGGTGAGTAAATAACCATTGTTTAATTTTCTGTAAGGAACCCAGTTTGATCATTGTAGAAGCAACACGTTAAAAATGTTAGAAATGGAGGAATGTGTCTGCCAAAAATTAACTTTTTGAAGCTGATTATTTTAATGATATTGTTCAAAATTATGTGGGCTACTACTTGGTTATTTTTAGAGGGAAGGATTTGAATAAATAGCTAATACTTGGGCCTTAAAGTTTTATTGCATTGAATGCCCTAATCAGTAGAACGAAACCAAGTTACATAGTTTCTAACCCTAAAGATACATGTGTTGTCTGCCTGAGTGGGTTAGATATTTGGAGTCCACTTTTGTAATTGAGGGGAAAAAATAAATTGCCTTTAAAAAGGTTAGTCCATAAATTGAGCTACATAGGTGTTATGGTACATCTTACATTTTTCAACTTGAGGTCATAAAGGCATACTTTTAAAACTGAATATTTCCTATTAGTTTATATGAACTTATTTTCTTCTTGAAAATAGGTTTTCTTGGGGCGCCTGGATGGCTCAGTCGTTTGTGTCCGACTTCAGCTTAGGTCATGATTCCGTGGTTCATGGGTTCGAGCCTTGCGTCGGGCTCTGTGCTGACGGCTAGCTCAGAGCCTGGAGACTGCTTCAGATTCTGTGTCTCCCTCTCTCTCTGACCCTCCCTGCTCTCTCTCTCTCTCTCTCTCTCTCTCTCTCTCTCTCTCTTTCTCTCTCAGAAATAAATAAAAGATAAAAAAAATTTTTTTTAAAGAAAATGGGTTTTCTTCTTCAGTCACCATTTTTTATTTTTTAAGGAGGACTCAGTTTTTTAAGTTAATATAAAAATTCTTGTTTAGGATATTTTCAAATTCCAACACCTTAAAAAGGAGAGAAAATTGATTATTTTGTAACTGTGCTTAATGCTGAGTACCTTCAGGTTGATCACTTTACCTTTTTTTAGGCTTTTTTTTTTTGAGAGAGAGCCTGAGCACAAGTGGGGGAGGGGCAGAGAGGTGGGGACAGAGGATCTGAATCGGGCTTTGCAAGGACAGCAGAGAGCCTAATGCAGAACTCAAGCTCACAAACCTTTGTGAGATCGTAACCTGAGCTGAAGGCAGCCGCTTAACCGACTGAGCCACCCAGGTCCCCCACTTTACCTTTTCTTTTTAAAGTTTGTTTATTTTGAGAGAGAGTGAGTGCCTGCCCATGCCCCGGCGGAGGAGGGGCAGAGAGAGAATGGTAAGCAGGCTCCTTGCTGACAGATGTGGGGCTGGAACTCAGGAGTGTGACATCATGATTCTTAACTGACTGAGCCACCCAGGCATCCCTAAGGTGACTCCTTTAAATCAGTAAGTGTTAAAGCCTTACTTAATGTGTATGTCATATAGCAGAATTTAATAAGGTTGTTTTAAACAGAATTAAGATTTTTGATCAATACATTTTATTTTATGGATGCTTCTTATTCCTGCCTAGAAATTAGACATCTCTAATTTTTCCCATAGCGTTTGAGTTAATACTTAATTCATTTTTTTCTTTAACAGATGAAGAAAAAATTTGGCCCCCATGTATTAGAGTAATTGTTATTAGATCACCAGTGTTGCAGACAGGATCACTTTTTATCATTACAGCTGTTAATCCTGCTACAATTGGAAGGTAAAAATGATTAATGTTACTATGTTTGTATATTTATCTTATTCCAATGGATTGTAAGTTCCTTAAGCAGTTATCATGAAATGTGCATGGTACTTGTTGAATGTGCAAACACTCAGTGACATCCATGTTCCTCCCACTCAGAAAATATTGTTGGTACTTATCTTTTCTCACAGAAATTTTGTCATTTCTTTTTGTACTGCCTTTTTAGGCTTAAATTACTTAAATCCAGTGTTTGTCTGATATTTAATCTTTCTCCTTTGTTTCATTTACCCCTTTGTGACTCCTAACCAGCTTGGTAGAGAGGTAGGTTTTAATCATGAGTAGGATAATTGCATTTCTTGCCAGCCAGAAAGAAAATCTATTCTTAATTCAGATTCTGTACAGTTTCTTAACTTTAAATTCTTGAGAATAGTATGGTCCTTACATGTAGTAATAGAAGTGGTAAATAGTCAACAGATCTGGAATAACTTTTGATACTAGTACATAGGATATGTTGTCCCATTGGATGTTTATTATTTTTTTAAATGTTTATTTTGAGAGAGAGCGCACATGCATGAGTGGAGGGGAGGGCGGGGGAGATGAGAGAGAACCCCAGACAGGCTCCACACTCCATGCTGAGCCCCAAACAGGGCTCCATCTCAGAATCATGAGCTGATGACCTGACCCTGTATCCAGAGTCAGATGCTTAATGGACTGAGCCACCCAGGTGTCCTACTGGATGTTTATTGTTAACTTGGGGTAGATATATCCAAAAATAAAAGTGATCCTGGAACTTCCTTTCAAACAGGAAATTTAGAGTAGGATTAAGGAAACTGGACTTAGTGTGGTAGAAAGACTTGTATTTTAACATTATCTTTTAAAACAACAAAAACAAAATCTTAAAAAAAATTGTTGTGGAGCCTGGATGGCTCGGTCAGTTAAGCATCCAACTTTGGCCCGGGTCGTGATCTCACAGTTAGTGGGCTTGAGCCCTTCATCGGGCTCTGTGCTGACAGCTCAGAGCCTGGAGCCTGCTTCGGATTCTGTGTCTCTCTCTTTCTTTCTCTCTCTATCTCTCTCTCTCAAAAATAAATAAATATTAAAACAATTATTTCTTTGTTAACTGTGCTTAATCTATATGTGGCTCAAAAATTATTAAAAGACACTTTACTTTGCAGAGAAAAAGATATGGAGCATACTCTCCGAATCCCTGAAGTTGGTGTTAGTAAGGTAAGCTTGCTCTTTGGTTCTTCAAATGTAGCCCCATAGATGATTTTATAAATCCTCATTATGTAAGAAAACTTAGAGGCTTTTTCATTTAGCAGAAATTTAATAGTTTAGGTAGTGATGGTAATGAAAAAAATTTAGATTCATTTATTCCACTGCTTGAGAAAATAATGTTTTATCAAAATTTGAAAGAATGAAATTATATTTAATTTTTAATAGTCTGGAGCAAGAGTGGAAATGTGGGTTAATTTAAGTATTAAAGTAATACCCATTTAACAAACATTTATTGCATGAAGTAAATGTGCTGGATATGATTGGAGTTTAAAAATGAATCAGACCTGGATTCAGGCTATGTTATTAGATGGTTATGTTTGAGTCCAGAGCATTTTACAACTCTGTAACAATCTGTTCCACCTCCCGAGGCTCTCCGTTTATAGTTCTTCCTAATTACTCCTCTCATGGTTTCAGGAAAAAGAACACTTGGGTTTTCAAAATAAATAGACCAGAGTTCTAATTTTTTTTTATTAAAAAAATTTTTTAAGTTTATTTTTGAGAGAGTGAGAGGGAACATGGGCAGGGAGGGGCATAGAGAGAGGGAGACACAGAATCTGCACTGAGCAGTCAGCCCAGAGCCCAACGTGGGGCTTGAACTCATTAACAGCGAGATCATGATCTGAGCCAAAGTCGGTTGCTTAACAGACTGAGCCGCCCAGGTGCCCCCAGAGTTACAATTTTAGTTACAAGTAGAAAAACAAAAGGTTTTGCTACTGAGACTCTCGATACTTGATATTTATCTTCTTCTGTATTTTCTGTTGTTTTCTCCTTTTATGGTTATCTTTTTTCTTTTTCTGACCTTTCATCATCCCCATATTGTTGCTATTTAGTAGACTGTAATATGGATCAACTGAGCCATGCAGATGCTCCATGTAAACAAAGTACTGTTTAACAAGGAGAGAATGCCTAGTCTTGAGTATTGAAAATCTGGAAAACTTCCCTGAGAAGTTCATCTTGAGGGGCATCTGGCTGGTTCAGTTAGTAGAGCATGTGAGTCCTGATCTCGGGGTTGTGAGCTCGAGCCCCATGTTGGGTGTGGGTGTAGAGATTACTTATATAAATAAAGTCTTTAGGAATGCCTGGGTGACTCTGTTGGTTAAGTACCCAACTCTTGATTTCAGCTCAGGTTGCAATCTCACAGTTCGTGGTTTCAAGCCCTACATCAGGCCGATAGCGCGTATAGCCTGCTTGGAATTCTGTCTCCCTCTCTGCCCCTCCCTCGCTTGCTCTCTATCTTTTTCAAAATAAATTAAAGTTAAAAACTATAATAAATTTTTTTTTAAAAAGTTCACCTTGAGTATTTCAAATCGCCTTTTGTATTAAGAATTTTTAATGATAAAGACTAATACATTAGGTGAAAAAATAATTTCAAATTGCGTATGCAATATAATCTCAACTATGTTTTTTTCTGTAGCCATAACATTTCTGCTGGGGCATTACAATACTTGTGTATTCAGAAAAAAAAGTATTAAAAATAGCAAAAGTTAGGGCACCTGGCTGGCTCAGTTGGTATAAGTTGTAACTCTTAATCTCGGGGCTCTGAGTTCAAGCCCCACACTGGGCTCTAAAAAAAAAATTTTAATGTTTTATTCTGAGAGAGAGAGAGACAGCATGAGCAGGGGAGAGTCAGAGAGAGAGGGAGACACAGAATTTGAAGCACGCTCCAGGCTCTGAGCTAGTTGTCAGCACAGAGCCCAACACAGGGCTCGAACCCACAAACCCTGAGATCGTGACCTGAGCTGAAGTTGGATGCTTAACCGACTGAGCTACCCAGGTGGCCCTAAAAAATTTGTTTTAAATAGCTAAAGTTAAGTTATCAAAGCCTTAAATCTATCTTATCCTATCATAGAGAAATTATCTGTAGTTTTTAAAAAGTATTGTATTTTGTAATTACCTGAGGGTTTTTTTTGTTGTTTTGTTTTTTAAGTTTCATGCAGAAATTTATTTTGACCATGACTTACAAAGTTATGTCCTTGTGGATCAAGGTAGTCAAAATGGTACTATTGTTAATGGAAAACAGATTCTTCAGGTGAGTGTATATTTATTAATTACTTGCACTTTAGTTTTATTTTTTTTTTTTGCTTTTATTTTTTTTTATTTTTTTTTTATTTTATTTTATTTTTTTTTTACAAATAGTTTATTGTCAAATTAGTTTCTACATAACACTCAGTGCTCATCCCCAAAGTGCCCTCCTCCATGCCCATCCCCCCCTCCCCCCCACATCCATCAGTCCTCAGTTTTTGTCAGCATTCAAGAGTCTCTCATGGTTTGCCTCTCTCCCTTTCCCCCACCATTTCCGCCCTTCTTCTCCCGCTTGTTCCTCCGTCAAGTTCCTCCTAATCCTCCTATACGTGCAAACATATGATATTTGTCCTTCTCTGCCTGACTTATTTCGCTCAGCATAACACCCTCAAGGTCCATCCATGTTGCTACACATGGCCAGATTTCATTGTTTCTCATTGCCATGTAGTATTCCATGGTATAGATAAACCACATCTTCTTGATCCATTCATCTGTTGATGGACACTTAGGCTCTTTCCATGTTTTAGCTATTGTGGAGAGTGCTGCTATGAACATTGGGGTACATGTGCTCCTATGCCTCAGCATTTCTGTATCCCTTGGGTAAATTCCTAGCAGTGCTATTGCTGGGTCATAAGGGAGTTCTATTGTTAGTTTCCTGAGGAACCTCCACACTGTTTTCCAGAGGGGCTGTACCAGTTTACATTCCCACCAACAGTGTAGGAGGGTGCCCGTTTCTCCACATCCTCGCCAGCATCTAGAGTTCTCTGATTGGCTCATTTTAGCCACTCTGACTGGCGTGAGGTGGTATCTCAGTGTGGTTTTGATTTGTATTTCCCTGATGAGGAGGGATGCTGAGCATCGTACTTGCACTTTAGTTTTAAAAATTGAACTGAAATTTGTATTCCTGAAGGCCATAGTTATTATACTTATTTGGTTCAGATTACTGTTCATGCCCGAATGTGTTATGTGCAAGGGAATTCCCAGGAAGAGCTGAAAAATGTATAGAAGTGGATACTTAATTCTTCAATTTTATCATGATTATATATTTTACATTATTTTAGAAATAAATGCATTTTAAAGCTATTTGGAGTAAACATTCTTAGTAACTTTAGGGGCACTCCTTTTTTGGTGGTTTTAAAAAAATTGTTTTAATGGAAATACGGCAAAACTGGGAACTCCTTGAAGGCAGGGGCTATGTCTATTCCGTTAACTCTTTAAGGTGCTTATTAGCACATAATAAGAAACTATATGGAAAGGAGTGGGGGAGACCTTAATTCTTAGTCTGTAAGAAGAAAAAATGAAATAAACTGAATTATCAGAGAAAATAAGAGGAAAAAGAGAATATGCCATTATCTCCGTAACATTTTATCTTTTTGACTGTGATAGATAATTTGGTTTGGTAATAGATTCTTTGATGTTTGGGTTGTGTATTTCTATAGGATTATGCATAGAGACAGGGAGATTAGGGGCTTCTGATAATAGAAAAGTTAGAAGTTGTTCAGTTCAGCCTTCTTCTCCATTAGTTGAAAGTTATATCATCCTCACACTGTGAAAATGTGTGCTGTATGTGCATATGTGTGTCTATCTCTGTGAGAACCATCCTGAATATTTTTTGTTTTAATCAGACATTACTTTGAGTAGACACAAAATAATCTTATGTAATGCTTGGGTTTCTGTTTTGTAATTTTTTCCTTTAGCCTAAAACTAAATGTGATCCTTATGTACTTGAGCATGGTGACGAAGTGAAAATTGGAGAGACTGTACTGTCCTTTCATATCCACCCTGGCAGTGATACCTGTGACGGCTGTGAACCAGGACAGGTTCGAGCTCACCTTCGTCTTGATAAGAAAGATGAATCTTTTGGTATGTGAAACATTGTTATGTGTAGTCATGATAGGTTTTCTGCTTAACTCACTGGAGTGAGGTACATTTGGATTTCAGTGAATATTATCACATGAGACTAAGAAATGAGATGTATTTGACATTTGAAACCTAGACTAGTAAATTATGATTTTAGTTGATTTTTCCATGTAACAATTTACCTGTGCTGCTATAGTGTTGGGTTGCTTTCTGACATGTAATCATTAGCTTTTTTTGCCTATCCAGTTTAGTAGGCTTTAGAAGCAGCACTGCACTGATAGCTAAATGTCCTTCGAGAGAATAATTGTGACATAATTATACTAAAGATTGGTTTCCTTTTGACTTCTGTTTGTGGATATGAAGAAATCATCCACACTCAAACTCTGTCATATAGTAATAAATTAGAAAATAATAGACCAGTGTATTAAGAGTTATTGGTTGATGCATTTGCTTTCCTACTTACAGTTTATGTTGATGTATCATTTGTGTATATACCATTATTTTCTATAGTAACACCATAAGAGGTTGCTATCTTGCTTTATTTTATTTTATTTTTTTTTTACAAATAGTTTATTGTCAAATTAGTTTCCACATAACACTCAGTGCTCATCCCCACAAGTGTGCTATCTTGCTTTAAAATCCACTCATCGAGGGGTGCCTGGGTGGCTCAGTCAGTTAAGTGTCTGACTCTTGATTTTGGCTCAGGTCATGATCTCATAGTTGGTGAGATCGAGCCCCACTGACAGCACAGAGCCTTCTTGGGTTTCTCTTCCCCTGGCCCCCCTCTCTTTCTTTCGCTTTCTCCCCTTCCCCCTACCCCCTCCTCTACTCATGTGTGCACACTTGTGTGTGTGTGCATGTGCACAGGTGCACTCTCTTTCTCTCTTAAATAAACATTAAAAAAAATCCACTCATCTAAGGCTTTTAAATTTTAAATGGATACTTTGAGTATCTCCTATCTACTACGGTAAGAAAGAAGTAATTCTTTTTCACATCAGGTTTTCCCCACAAATATGAACTGTAAATGTTCATGTATATATATATATATATATTTTTTTTTTTTCTTAATGTTTATTTTGAGAGAGAGAGAGAGAGAATGTGTGTGTGAGTGGGGAGAGGGGGCAGAAAGAGGAGAGAATCCCAAGCAGGCTCCACATGGGGCTTGAACTCATGAACTTTGAGATCATGACCTGGGCCAAAATCAAGACTCAGATGCTTAAGCAACTGAGCCGCCCAGGTGCCCCTATTTTCTGTTTTCTGATACTAGATTATGAAAATGAGTATAGTACATTACATAATAATGTGAACCTTGGGTTCAGTGATTTTTCTTTTGAACATACCTATATTCCTTTGGAAAATTAACAGTATTTCTCTATTGGGGATTCTATTATAATAAAAAATTAAGATAGCATTAAATTTAATATTTAAAACTTAAGTGTTTCTTTTGGTATCTGTACTGTAACATTTCTATAACTTCTGGGTTTCGATTTCCTTTCCAAGTAGATTTAGTTATCAAAATGCTGAAATGGCATCACCACAACCCAAGATTCTTTTATATTAATGTTTATTTGAACTTTTAGTTTTTTTTTTTTTTTTTTTGAACTTTTAGTTAATATGCAGGTAGAATAGTATTAATCTTGTTATTATATAACAGTATTTTATGTAAAGTCTGCTAGATTTAGTGGTTTTTTTTTTTTTTAAACCAAACTCACTTTTTCCTTTTAGTTGGTCCAGCACTAAGTAAGGAGGAAAAAGAATTGGAAAGAAGAAAAGAATTGAAGAAAATACGAGTAAAATATGGTTTGCAGGTAAGGATGTTAAATATTGTTACGTGTATTAATTGTACATCTGATTTTAAGTTAAAAATGTCTTTAGATATACATCGTCCATTTTACATGTGAAAGTAGAGCTGTTTACAATGATTTTGAGATTTATGTTATTTCTTTTAGTTGGTTACTGTTTACCTGAACAACTGTCAAGGCTAGAGGAGAAAAATGATAATAATATCCAACATTCAAATAGCCATTTCTGGTTTTTGAAAAATTTTAATTAAAATGGTACCATTGAAGGATGTTGTTGGAGGACTGATACTGCCTGATCTCAAGACATATAAAGTACAGTAGTTAAGACAGTACACAATTGGGGCGCCTGGGTGGCTTAGTCGGTTAAGCGTCCGACTTTCGCTTAGGTCATGATCTCACGGTTCGTGGGTTCGAGCCCCGCGTCGGGCTCTGTGCTGACTGCCAGCTCAGAGCCTGGAGCCTGTTTCAGTCTGTGACTCCCTCTCTCTCTGACCCTCCCCTGCTCACTCTCTCTCTCTAGGAAAAAAAAAAAAAAAAAAAAAAGACAGTACACAATTGACATAGATAGTATTGGGGTAATGTGTATGATTTTTGGATAGTCTCTTTCAGTAAAGAGTGCTGGAATGCTTGTACAGCCATTTGCAAAAACAAAAGAACTTTGACCTAAACCTTGTAACATATGTAAAAATAAATTCAGAATGGATCATAAGTATAAATTTAAAACCTCAATAAAGTTTCTAGGAGCATACTTTAAAAAAATTTTTTTAAATGTTTTATGTATTTCTGAGAGAGAGAGACAGAGACAGTGTGAGCAGGGGAGGGTCAGAGAGAGAGAGGGAGACATAGAATCTGAAACAGGCTCCAGGCTCTGAGCTAGCTGTCAGCACAGAGCCTGATGGCGGGGGTTGAACCCACGAACTGTGAGATCATGACCTGAGCATAAGTCAGACGCTTAACCGACTGAGCCACCCAGGTGCCCCACTAGGAGCATACTTCAAAAAAAAAAAAAAAAAGCAAAGATTTTTGAAGATCTCTAACACCAAAAGCACAATCCATAAAACAGCAAATTAATAAAATGAATTTCCTCCAAAATTTCTTTTCTTCTAAGGACACAATTAAGAGAGTGAAATGATAAGCCACAGACTTGGAAAAATATTTACAGATCATCTATTTGGTAAAAAGTCCTCGATCTTATATCTGGAATATATAAAGTACTCTCAAAACTAAATAAGAAAACAATTTGAAAATGAGCACAAGGTTTGAATAGACCCTTCACCAATGCAAATGTACAAATGGCAACTAAGCACATGAAAAGATGTCCAGTATTACTGGGGAATTGGCAATTAAAACCAACTAGAAAGACTATCCTTACCAAGTATTGGTAGGTCCGTAGAGGAATTGGAAATTCTCATATACTGCTGGTGAGAATATAAAGTGGTTTGATTGTTTTTGAAAAATAGATTCTTCAAAAGTTAAGTGAATGCCTACCATGTGATTCCACCATTCTACAGCAAGGTATTTACCCAAGAGAAATGAAAGTGTATGTTCAAAGACTAGTAAGCAAATGTTTGTGACTGTTTTTTTCCTTCTTTTAAACTTTTTTAAGTTTTTTCTCTCTTATTACCAAAGTGTAGTTGACATACAATGACACACTATGCTGTAGGTATACAGCATAGTGATTTGACAGTTCTATACATTATATGACACTTACCATGTAAGTGGAGTTCCCATTGGCCACCATATAGTGTTGCTAAAATATTCATATTCCCTATGCTGTACTTTCCATTTCCATGACTTATTTATTTTATGACTGGAAGTTTATACCTCTTAATCCCCTTCACCTGTTTCACCCATCCCCTACCTCCCCTCCCCTCTGCCAAACCCCAGCTTCTTCTCTGTATTTATGAGTCAGTTTCTGGTATTGGTCTGTTTTGGTTTTTATAGTCTATATATAAGTGAAATTGTGTTGCTTTTGTCTTTCTCTGACTTCTTTCACCTAGCATAGTAACTTCTAGGTCTGTCCATGTTATCACAAATGGCAAGAACTCATTCTTTTTTGTGGCTGAGTAATGTGTGTGTACCACATCTTTATCCATTCATCTCTTGATGGACACTTGGGCTCCTTCCATATCTTGGCTATTGTAAATAATGCTCCATTAAACTTAGGGGTGGGTATGTCTCTTTGAAGAAGTGTTTTCATTTTCTTTGGGCAGATATCCAGTAGTGGAAATCCTGGATCCTATGGTATTTCTGTTTTTAAATTTGAGGGGAACCGTCATCCTGTTTCCCACTGTGGTTGTACTAATTTATATTCCCACAAACAGTGCATGAGGGTTCCCTTTTCTCCACATCCTCACCAGCACTTGTTATTTCTTTTGTCTTTTGCATATTACCCATTGTCATCAGTGTGAAGGGATATTTCATTGTGGCATTAGCAGCTTTTTTTCCAGTAACCAGAAACTGGAAAAGACTCACATATCCATCATGAATGAATAAACAAATTATGGTAAATCTATATGGTCACATATTCTTTAGCAGTGGAAAAGCATGAGCTCTGGATACAGGCTGCAATATAGAAGAATTTCAAAATAATTATGCTGAGAGAAAGCAGCCAGACCACAAGGGTACATACTGTATACACCCATTTATATAAAATTATAGGAGAGCAAATTAGCATACCACAACAGAAAGTGTAGTAGTTTCCTGGATATGAGAGAGGACGGATGCACAGGGGGAGTCTGCAGTGATGGATTCCAGAGAAAGATGAAGATCCTTCCATGGGAGATGGATATATTATCTTCATTGTGGTGATGGTTTCATAGGTGTCTACGATCTCAAAAGCACCTAATTGTATACCTTATGTGCAATTTATTATAGTTACATTGCAATAACAATTAAAAAAAAACAAAGGGGGGGTTACCATTTAACGTATAAGTTAAATTATACCTTCCTAAGTTACCTTCCTACGACCAGGAAGGTAATTAGTATTTCCAGTTTTCCTTTGGGAAACTAAGCTAAGGGTTACCCAGCTGCTAAATGACAGAATTAGATGTCTTTTTTTGTTTTTCTGAGAGAGAGTGTGTGTGTGTGTGAGCACAGGAGGGGCAGAAAAACTGGGAAAGAGAGAATCTTAAGCGAACTCTGTGCCCAGCACAAAGCCCGATATGGAGCTCGACCTCACGGCTATGAGATCATGACCTGAGACTTAAGCCATAGTCAAGAGTTGGATGCTTAACTGATAGCCACCCAGGCGTCCCTATTCAGTAAACATTTCTTGAGTGGCTGTCTAATCATATAAATGGAACTCTGTGGAAGCAAAAAGCTATTATTACTGCCACAGTAAAAGAGTAGTACCACACTTTTACATTTTTCCCTTTCAAGGAATAATACCACACTATTTTAGGTCCTTTAGAACTTTGAGTTCCTTAGAGAAAAGGAGAAACAGATTTTTGCCAACCCCAGGGGTTCTACATATTTCTTTGAATACTCAGTTCATATGAGACTATGAATACATAGTATTAAGTCAAGATATACTATATTTTCACTGTATTATTTCTTACATTTTACGATTTATGTATGATTTATATTCTACATACAGTTTATGTTGTACAACTTGAAATAATATAAACTTTTGGGGGGTGTGGAGAGCACACACGTGATTTGGGGGAAGGGGCAGAGGGAGAGGAAGAGAGAGACTCTTAAGAGGATTCATGCTGGGCATGGAGACTGACACAGGGTGAAATAATATATACATTTTAAAGGAGATAGAATAGGGGCGCCTGGGTGGCTTAGTCGATTAAGCGTCCGACTTTCACTTAGGTCATGATCTCACGTTTGTGGGTTCGAGCCCCGCGTCGGGCTCTGTGCTGACAGCTCAGAGCCTGGAGCCTGTTTCAGTCTGTGACTCCCTCTCTCTCTGACCCTCCCCTGCTCACGCTGTCTCTCTCTCTCTCTCTCCTAGAAATAATAAAAATAAATAAATAAATAAATAAAGGAGATAGAATAAAAATAGCATTCTCTAACGTAATTGTATCAATTTATATCATGGCCTGCTTTGTTATTTTAATAGAGACCATATTGAACCATATTTGCCAGGTAAAGCAAATATGCAGGTAGTACATTTTTATGTATCAGTTTTATTTTCTTCAATGAATATTTCATGTTTATAAAGAATACAGACTATGAAGATGAAAAGGCACTGAAGAATCCAAAATATAAAGATAGAGCTGGAAAACGTAGGGAGCAGATTGGAAGTGAAGGAACTTTCCAAAGAGATGATGCTCCTGCGTCAGTTCATTCGTAAGTATTACATTTTAATTGTTTGAAACATTCTTTGTACCATAATCACATTCGTAGGATGCTAGAATTTACAGGGTTATATATTCTAGAAGTAGCCTTTAAAGAAATGAATCATACGAAGATGGAAGTATTCCTCTGATTCAAATTGCATTCCCTAGAAAATTACGTAGCATACACATACTTAAACACATATATACACATAGGTAACATTCTCACCACCCACTTGAGTAAACATATATACTAGGTATCTAGAAGGTTGGGCTAGTAAGAAATTAGTATGGACTGATATTTTTTATAACTATTTCAGTACTCATTCACTTTTGTTCTTGTTGACCTTGAAATACTCTTTCTCTTTTCTTCGATTCAGTTCTGTTCTTTGGGTAAAGTGGCAGTGATAATACGAAGAATATAATTTTGAGGCCTGTACACTATGACCATATTTCTGCTTTTAATCTTGTATCAGCTACATTTTTTCCCTGAGAATATAAATTCAGGAGTGAGTTAGAATTTAAATCTTTCATGTAGGACTGACAGCTGATTATAAACTTTGATTAAATATGTTTTATTCTAAGATACACCACTTGGATAGAGTTTTAGTTACATAGGACAGCATTTTTTTTCTTTACGGTACATAAAACATATCTGTCAGATTTGATAGAATATAGTATTCTGAATTAGGTAGACTCAACATCATGATACATTTCTTAAAGCTTAATATTTTTTATGTAATTGCTGGAAAATATGAAGTTTATATTAGAGTGAAATTAAAGGCAGAAATAAAAAATGAAATACATTGGTCGGACGTTGCTTGATTTATTGTTATTAAAGAGCTAATTAACATATTTTGTAGTACTGAAAATACAATGTGTCAGAATATAAAATACCCTTAAACTGGCAGAAAATAAAGTCAAAGAACAAGATGCAAATAATGAGAGTTTTTGTCTCATTTTATTTTTACTTTTTTATTGATACATAACTGATATACCAAAAGTATACAAATATCAATAATATAAAATTAACACATTGCAGAATACACATCTATCAAGAAATAGAAAATTATCAGTAACCCCCAGAAACCTACCCTCCTAGTGCCTCCTCCTGATAGCTATTTCTTTTTTTTTTTTTTTCCTTTCCAAAGGCAGCCACTCTCCTGACTGCCAACAGGAAGAGATTAATTTCACTTGGTTTTGAATTTTAAATAACTAGAGTAATTCAGTATTTATTTTGTGTCTATATTCTTTTTGTCCAACATTATTTTGTTAGATATATTTTATGTTTAATGCTGTATAATATCCTTTTACATGAGAATGTCACAATTTATACATATTACATTGATGGACACCTGAGTTATTTTCCACTTACAGTTGTTAATTAGATTTGTTCCGGAAACATTCTTGTACGTATCTTTTTGGTGCACTATTTCTGTTAAGTAGTATGTGGAGGAGAATTTGTGTATCTTTATTAGGTAATGCCAAACAGTTTTCTTGAGTATTTGTACCAGTTACTTTTATTTTTAGTTTATTGTAAATGTGACCTACATGGTCTTTTAGAAAGCAACTACTATCTTAATTTTCTTTAAAGTGAAATTACTGATAGCAACAAAGGTCGGAAGATGTTGGAGAAGATGGGTTGGAAGAAAGGAGAGGGCCTAGGGAAGGATGGTGGAGGAATGAAAATTCCGGTAAGACTTGTGTTTTCTTTTGTTCTTTATTCTTACGGCAGATACATTTACTTGTATACCTACTGTGTGCCAGGCATTGCCTTACGTTCCAGGAATTTAATATCAAGCACGAACAGACAGGATTACTGTCATTGTGATATTCATAATCACCTGATATATATGTATGTGTTCTGTTTTTAACGTTTTTTGGAAGCCTGTTAAAAGTTTTTTCCTTCCTCAAAGCTAGGAAAATAAATGTCATTTCCTGAGCCATAGGTTCTTACTGTTTTTCAGTTGCTATTAATGATTTCCATGCTATGTGTGGTACTAAATATTGTGGAAACAATAAAAAGTAAGGCTTTTTATTTACTGTACATAGGCAGATTCTGTACAGGCTGGATAATCTGTTTTAGATTTAATAATCAGGTCATGTAACAAGCAGTAGAGGGAATAATGTCTGCAAAACAGTACAGTGGTTTAATTCTGCAGTCCCCATGGTTCATCAGAGGCTTAAGTTATCTTTTAGAAAAACCTTACAAAGTAACATGATTAAAGAACTTTCTTGATAATTACCTGGTACCTAAAGAAATAATGGATACATCAGTATTAGGTTTAATGTGAATTTTCTACGAGGTACAATGAAAAGAATGATTTTATAGTCAAACCTACCAAATAGAATTATTTTGTTAAAGTAGGTGCTGTATCACTTTACTAGTTCTGTGATGTAGGGCAAGTTTGGACTTCAGTTTTCATAAGTAAAAATGGGGATTATAAGGACTGCTTTCTCAGAGGTATCATAAAGGTAAAGTCCTAAATGTGGTACCTGATGTACAGTAGGCACTTAGTAACTAACTGGTAGTCTTTAATGGTTCTCAAAATAAAGTCGTCTCCCTCTTTTTATGAAAATAAACAATCAGGTTTTATTTATGACTCTTGTTGTCCCTCTTTATGACTCTGAATGTTTAATCTACCCATTCACTTCCTTAGGTGAGACTAGAACGACAGTAGTATTGTCTTTTCTTCTGGCTACAGTGGGATGACAGATTGTGTAGCATCTCATTGAAATTTGGTGATTGCTGTTTAATAAGGAGCACTTTCTGTATTGGGAGAGCTGCAATTATTGACAGGCAAGACATTGTAGAAAAATGAATTCAAGTTCTGTGTATAATTGTCTGTATTTCTGTATGTATTTGAAGGATTTGACAGGTTTTTCTTTTGCATCAGTCTTTCTAAGTCAAAGAATTAAAGTACCAGGTCAGGTACAGCAGATTTCAGTTTATTCAGACTCTGCACTAAGTCATCTCGCTTTTTGGTAACAGATCCAGCTTCAGCTTCGGCGAACTCATGCAGGCTTGGGGACAGGCAAGCCATCCTCAATTGAAGACATTCACCTCCTCCAAAACAAGAGCAAAAAGAACTGGGAGAAAGCACGAGAGAGGTTTGCTGAGAACTTCCCAGAAACAAAATCTCAGAAGGATGTGCCAGGGACCGTCCCTTGGGTCAAAGGAACTGTAGAATGAATGTCAGCCATAGAACACAATTCAAGCTTTCTTTATTTCTTTTCTTTTTTTTTAAAGAGTTTGGAAACTTACTTTATTGCAAAAATTTTCCCTCCAAAAAGAGTCCACGGCATGAGGGAACTGTATCACAGTTTACCCCCTCATGATTCAGAAATGTGTAATAAAGGGTGGTTTGCAGCTTTTAAAAAGCATTTTTTTTTAAACTAATAAATAGTAACTGAATTAGATTATGCTGTGAGCAACCCAAAGTTCACAGGCCACGGCTGAGTTTATGAAACTTTGTTGTTTTATCTTGTCATTTATAAAACCCATATAAGCAAAATTCATATAACCAGTAATGATTTAAATGTACATTTGTCCTTGTCTCCATATATTCATTACTATAAGATATACAACAAGAGAAACGTCGAAAGTTTATAAAAACAAGTACGATTACAAGCATCCTTGTTTATGCGCTTTAGAACCTAGATGAAAAATGTTGAGAAAACAGGGGTAGTGGTGCATAAATTTTATTCTTGAAATATTCTAAGTAATATTGTTGAAGAACTAATGAACAGGTGATATGTTATAGAAAATTAGTCTTTCATTGTTTTCTTCTGTGAAGAATTTGTTGATTTGTACTATATATTAAGCATTTACACTTGGTTTGTTTTATAGCTGAAATATTTAGATATGAGCAATTGAGTACAGTATTGAACTATTCCATGTGCTGGCATTTATAGTTTTGATAAATCCCATTGCTGGCAATGGAGTTGTGCCAGAAAAATCTGATTTCTATTGCAAAAGGATTGCCTAGCCGAGGCCTCAAACTCAAGATATTTATTGAAAATGTCTTCAAATGCAATAAAAACATTATAATCATAACATCAAAAAGAGTGATTCATTGAACCAATGTTTTAAACATATTGGTCTGCTTTGAATTCACCACCGGCCAGAATTCTCCCCTTTAAATTGGCAGGCAGTTACAACAGGGTAACTTCAGATACTGGAGACTGCAGTACAGCTTTCTGAGTGCAGATGTCCCTGCCCTGCCGGTTATCGCTGTTCTTTTCCTCTCTGTTCAACTTCTCTCTCAGCTTTCTGCTGGGACATTATTGCTGGGACTTTCTCTTTTCTGACAGTGAATATAAGCTATAGCTCCCTCATCTACTAGAAAGAAATGTCTTTAGGATTTAGAAATAGGAAAAGAAAATTCTGAAAAAAAGTATACAAGGGAGAAGATAATTCAGAAAGACTCCCTGTTGGACTTTCTACTCTGGATGGTACAGGGTACTTAGGAAGAAAAGGGGAGGGTGGGGAAAGAAAAATACATTTATTAATAAAGATGAGACATCAGACCAAACAAGTTGTCAGGACCCTACAGGCCTAAACTGTGATAATCAGAGGACCTATATCTCCAGATCTGCAAAAAGTCATTTTCTGTATCTGTTCTAGCCACTTGTACATCCTGAGACTCCTGTATGTACATCAGACTTGAAGGCAACAGGAGTGTTCTGCATTATTTTCTCTAAAATAGAAAAAAGGTATTTAAATGTGGTTCTGGTACTTGGGCCCTGTATATAGGTAACAGTATAGGAGGTCCAAAGTAGAATTGTGGTAGATTTCACTCGCTGAGTAAAGTACAACTGTGTATATAGTATTTCCCATTTTTATTATTAGATTGTGGAAAACTTTTTTCATTGTTTTCTTTTGTTAAGAAAATGGAGACTTGAAAATGGTGATAAAAATGGAAATATATGTGTTATTTACGTTATTAAAACCCTTTGCAGATCTAAAGTCTCAGGGCTCTAGTGTATGGTAGATAAAGGACTGAATAATGTCTGAGTCTATTTCCATCTGTGAAAAAATATTTATCTCACATGTCTGTCTTGAATAGAAAATGAGAAAATGTATATAAAAGTTTGTAAACTGTAAAAGTACAGAGATGAAAGCTTCTGTTTGTTTAGAAGCGTAGATGTGAATTATGTACAATTTGGATTACACATAAAATTGTTTTGTGTCTCATATTTTAAATTATATTCACACATTATAAATTTATTATAGTGGCCTTTAAGGGTTTAAGTAGAGCTAAGGTTGCTGATTTTTTTTTTTTTTTTTGCCAGAACATGAGAAGTTGGCAAAATTTGAGAACAGAAGAAACCATCAGAATTAGAGTAAAATGACAGAAATTATTTTCTAGAATTAAATAGCTACGTAGCACTTTTTCCTCATAAAGGACTTTTCCCCCTGCTTTTAAAAGTTTTTACTTCTGATGTTTCATTTTTACTCTATTGTGAACTTAAGAAAATTAATGGCTCACCCAAATCAAACATCTTCCAACTTTTCATGTAAAAGATTATTTCTTAATTTGGCACATTTTCAAAGAGAACACAAAAGAAGATAGAAATCCCTGATGCAAGAGGTGTCAGAGATTGTGTAGAAGGACCGTCTGTCAGGTTGCAGGACAGAGGGATGTGCTTGGTAGGGAGCTAGCGAGGCATTTCCGGACCTGACACCAAAGGGTGTTCTCAGTGTTTCCCCATCATCTTGTAAGCATGCATCTTATTTTTGTAGGACATCACTTGTATCTCCACTCTGAATTTTTAATCCAGAATACTTCGTTTTCCTTTTTTGGACCTGAAAGTGGAAATACACACTTGGATTCTTTAAAAAGAGTTAAGTGTTTGTGTGTGTGTATGAGGGCCCAGGCTTTCTTTCTGACCTTCTGTTTTACTAATCTCAGCGTTGGTTTATGGCCTTAGAGTTGCAAAATAACTTGGAATTCCTTTGTCATTATATTCGTGTCCAAAATACAAGAAAGGGCAAAGAGAGCAGTATTTGTGTTAGTTTTGCCAGGAAAGCAAAAGCTTACTCAGAAACTCTCATAGCCAAACTGCTTCTTAGGATCATTAGCCAGAACCTCATAATGGCTACGGATGGCTGCAAGGGAAGTTGAAAAGCTGGGCAACAGGATGGTCTCACTTGGCTTAAGCCATTCATGAAACATCACCTGGGGCTGAATATGTTGCCTTTGGAACACAATCAGGGTTCAGTGGACAAGGCAAAAAGGGGACAGTGGATATTGAATGGGCAGGTGACTGTCTGTCAGATAACCCAACTGTCCATTAGTGGGAACCCTATGGGGTTGGTTAAATTGGTTTTGTAGTTCTACTGTGTAATAATTAAGAGTCATTCAAATGCGTAAGTTAGAGCTATCTATACCCTGATGTAGAATATTCTCAGGATATTGCTGATTTTAAAAAGCAGATTGCAGAAAAATGTGTATAGCCTAATCTCATGTTTTAAAAAATACAAGGTTACATGTTGAATTGTAAATGTTAATTGCCCAAGAAGTGAGCAGACTTTCACAGTTTATTATTTCTATACGTGACCTTTGAAGCAGGTATAATTGTGTACTTAACCTACATATATTCATTCACATTTATAATGAGTAGGAATACAACACACTGAAATGTATAGGCCTTTAGGGCTCAACCCCAGGCATTTTCCTCACTCTCATGTGCCCAATTTCTTTTACTATACAGACACAGCCATTACTTGAGGTTGTCTTAGCCAGGATACATATCCAACTCAGTCACCTTAAATGCAGTTTTTTTAAGACTGAATCCATAGTCTTCAAACCTGGCCTTTTCCAGTTTGTTCTTTCTGTTGGCTGCACCATCTATCTAGTTGTACAAGCTAGAACCTTGGAGTCTGCCTCTATTTCATACACCCACCCTCTCCCCCTCCCCCTAATTTCTTATATAGTAAATCAGTTCACTGTCCGCTTCCACACGAACTATTCTACTAGCTTCCCAATGGCCGACTTGCAGTCAGTCCGTCCTCTCCAGTCCATCCTCCACACTACAGACATAGTGTCTTCACAACCCCTCTTCCATCTCCTCCTATTTAAATCCTCCTGTAGCTTCCCGTTACTCTTGAGTGCAGCAAACAGAGTCTTAGCCCGTAACACCCTACCTGGCGTAACCACTGCCAGCTTTTCCAGTCCCTGTCAGCAGGAACCTTTTTTTCAATTCCTCAAACATGCCATACCTTCTCTTACCCTAGGGCCACTTATATTCCATTATGTCTGGAATGTTCTTCCTATACCCTTAGAGTTAACTCTGACAGTTAGATCTCTGCTAATTGATTCTCTTCAGGGATGCCTCCCTTGTCCCCTAGACTGATTGCCTTTGATAAATGTTCTTAAAAATCCATATTTGTTTCATTTAGACTACTTAGTTCACATAGGTAAGTGTGATTAATAATAGCATTTGTCTGACTAGAATCTTAAGTGCCTTGTGGGCAAGACCTGGGTTTTTCTCACAGTTGTATTCCTAGTACCCAGCCTGGCTTATACACTTAGAGGCAAGCAGTGAAAGAGCAAGGTGGGTTTGGGGCACTGCAAGTGGCTTGATACAGGTGGGGTTTTGTGTAACTGAGGAAACAGGGAAGGAACTGAGGCTACATAGAGGGTGTGAAGTAATGACTTTCAAACCATTTTGACCATGATCCATGTTGAGAAATACAGTTTATATGACAGCTCAGTACATGTCTTAGGTAAGCATTTATAACAAGTTCTATACACCAGTACTTAGCTGTTAGTTCACATAATGGACCCTTTTTTTTGTTTTCCAAGTCACTGATTCCAGCCACTAAATTGATTGCATAATCTGCTGATGGGCTGTGTCCTACAATTGGAAATATCCAGAATTAAAGCTTGGTTTTCAGATGGTTTGACAGAGCCTATGGCATTGGCATTGCTTTACAGAACTGCAGGTGTGTGTGTGTGTGTGAGAGAGAGAGAGAGAGAGAGAGAGAGAGAGGGAGAGAGAATGAGTGATGGGATGGGATCGGATGGAAAGGAGCTAGGGTACCAAATTGGTGACTCTCATTCTCATGCTGTTTCCAGAATTGGTCTACATTGATGTGGTTTACAATTCAAGCTTCCAGATAGATTTCATTTGCAGAAAGGGTTTCACTGCTTAAAGAGGAGCTGGGGGGAGGGATGCCTGGGTGGCTGAGTCTGTTAAACTTCTGACTTTGGTTCAGGTCATGATCTCACGGTTCGTGAGTTTGAGCCCCATATCTGGCTGTGTACTGACAGCCCAGAACCTGGAGCCTGCTTCAGATTCTGTCTGTCTGTCTATCTCTCTCTCTCTCTCTGCCCCTCCCCCACTCACACACCCTCTATCTCCCGTTCAAAAATAAATGAACATTAAGAAAAAGTTTTTTTTTTTTTTTAAACAAAAGAGGAGCCAGTGGGGAACTGAACCATGTACCTACAGCTATTCTCAAACACTATGTGAAGACATTTGGATTTTTAATCTCATCAGCAGTGAGGAAATTCCTGGAGGATTTTAAGCAGGGAATCTAATTCTCATTACATCACTTTATAGCAAAATAGCTGTGACTCACTGAAGAGGGGTAGAGTGGAGGCTGATAGACCACTGTGAGGGCTTTTTCCATCTATCAGGTATTTTTTGAGTACCCATCAGGAGCTGTGCAGACCTGTGAAGCCAGGGGCCTTTGTCTTCAGTACCTGTCACAGCATTGTATGTTTAGGAGGTGCTCAATGAGCATTTGTCGGTAGGATGGATGGAACATGCATTTGTGTTGTCAGATACCATGCTAAGCACTTGACATACATTATCTTCTTAATTCCTGCCACTATTTTATGCATTAGAAAACAGATTTGGAGAGGTTTTTATTTTACTAAAAGTCAAAAAGTCTGTGTGGCACAGTGGCAGAACTGGGGTTGAACTCTTGATTCTTTTCATTTCAGTGGACTGTTATGAGCACAGGCTTACGAGTCTGACTGACCTGGATTCTGATTACAGCTCGACCACTCCTGAGCTGAGTGATGTTTAAAAGTTTATTTATTT